GTTTTATGTTGTTATTCTATTTTCTTCATGTTTTTTTAAATTTTGTTGTAGATCTAGTTTTGTAAATAAGCATGCACACAAATGTGGTCTGTGTGTTGGGGCAGAAGCCTCCAATAAGCAAGTGTGCTAGTACTAGACTATTACTTACCTTCTGGTGTCAGCTAAACTAGATGTGTTCCAACTAATGCAAACATTTTAAGCTAAGCATGTGCCCATATTTTGTTTGTTTACTATATGTATTCAAAATGAAAGTAGAAATAGTTGAGATGAAGCATCATGTCTCTGTCAAACCACACTAGACTGCAGATGTTTGTTGCGTTAATACAGTCTCTGTTTGAAGTGCATAAATTTATGACATTGACTGAACTATTATAACTTTTAAGAGCTAAATACTATTTAAAAACAGCCATGTATGGATTCCAAAAAGGGAATTCTGTGAAAAAAAAAATTGTTCCAACTCCCATACTATGGAAGTTGGAACATATTTTTTCCCCAGAATTCCCTTTTTGTCATCAAACAATGATTTCACAGTTATTCATGATTAAACTTAAATCTACCACTAATTTTTGATTTATGTGTCCCACTAATATTTGCTGCTAGCATATTTACCAGTAAAGCAAATGATATTTAGAAATTAGATAGTTAAGCCTGTTATGTATACACTTTAACGCATATAGTGTAGCTGTGTAATAAAGACTGCAATGATTCTGCATTTTGGAGTTAGAATTTTGATTATTGGTTTGCTATGCAATTGATTTGAATTTGATTATTTAGGCTGAAAATACATTATTTTTCTCATAGGAAAACGTTTCCATACAATGAAAATTACTTTTAAAAATTTAATGTCATAAACAGACTATATAATACAGGCCAATATTTTGGGTAATTCACAGTCATCCATGTCTAACAACAATCAACAGTGCTATAGTCTGACATTACACACATTTTTACTAGAGAACTGAGAACATATATCAAATGAAAGTAATGCTTGGTTATCAATTATAAAAAAATAAAACAAATTATAACTTGCAGTTCGGCATGATTGGGAAAAGGAATAAGTGTTCCACTCCTTTAGAGGAAACAAACTAGTTGCTTTTGTTTTATTTCATTACTTTCAATGTTTAATTCTGTAGCCCACAGATGACATAGACAGTATGGATGCAAATGCTGACTCTGTCTCCGACAATGAAGAATATACCAGTGTGCGATCAAGCAAGGTAACAAGAATGACATAATAAATTTCAAGATTAAGGTGGAGGTGTTTTGTTTATTGAATACTGACAGATGCTAGGGGCATCCGTGGCCGAGTGGTTAAGGTCGTTGACTTCAAATCACTTTGTGGATGTGGGTTCAAATCCCTACAGGGACTTTGGATTCTTTCATGTGAGGAAGCTATCCAACTAGCTTACAGAACATTGGTGGTTCTACTAAGGTGCCCGTTCGTGCCTGAAATAATGCACAGAAGGGCACCTTAGGTCTTACTCCACAGGCATTAAAGCTGGAACATTGCCACATGACCTAAATTGTGTTGGTGTGACGTAAAACCCAATCAAACAAACAGACTGACATATCCTAGGCTCAAAATCAATACTGGTTACCATTGTTACTGAACTATGAGACATTTTTTCCCAATTCTAAAGATTAAGCACACAATCATTGTCTTATAAGCCAATCAAGAAAATCCAAGGAAAAATAACATGAGAGTTATGTAAAATCTAGATAAAAAGATTATACAATGTATTAACTTTATAAAGCTGTGTTTGCCAGAATCTTTTGGGTTATTAAAGGAACTTAACTGAGGTAAAAAACCTAAATATAAAATATGAACATATTATTATGCTGTTATTGTAAGAAGGTTTCTAACTGCAGCCTGCTTAGCAATGATTTCGTGCATTTGCCATTGGTTCTTCATGAAAACCCAACATTTTTTCAATGAGATAGTTTGGAATTATTTTCCGTTATAAAACTACAAAAAACTATTGATGGCAGATCTATATAAAGCTTTATATAACCTTTAGTAGGTGTAGCAATATGTAATCTGGCTTAGAATTTTATGTACATGTATATTATCATTCTTTCACTTTTTATTACCTTACTCTGTTATTATTATTTTTGTTAAGATTTATAATTATTATTATTACATCTATTTGCAGACAGGTTATTAGATTTAGTGACTTTGCTGTTATGCTGCTTTCATAGTATCGATAATCCATCATGTTTTACAAAACTTCGTTAGCCATAGATAACTTTTAATAGTTTATTATAAAAATTTTTATACTTTGCTTTATACTGTTGTTAAATAGCCTCAGTCTTATAATGTAAACTTCTTAAATTGTGCATATGTATACATTTTATTTTGTTATATTTTACTTTACAAAAAGTGAGGTAGTGCAGGCAATACATTGTACTTTTGGACTTTTTTTGCATATTTTGATCTCTTTTTTTGGTAACTTACATGGGTTGTAAGTGCCATTGATAATGTGTTAATTGCATTCTTTTGGTAACTTAAGAATATTATGCTCTTAAAAAACATTTTCAAATTTTCATGAAAAATAGCATGAATCTGGAGGCATGCTGCTTTAAGGGCTCACACCTTAATAGCAGCCTATCTATCTAAGTCCGCCATCTGTACAAAGTTCTTAATGTGTTTCTTTTTTTTTGCCATTTTGGGAATGGGCAAGGGTCAATTTTATTTGCGATTTTTCAGTCATTAAATAAGATAAATTGAGAAAATAACTAACAAACAAGCAAGATTTCAGTATATAATGTAAACAATTTAGTTTTTATATTGTGAATAAAGGGTCTTTCCAGCTCTATATGTACCTACAACACTGGAAAACAGCATACAACGTCGGCAAGCTTGTAAAAAGCTGTGACTTTCTGAACTCTTGTTTCCTAGGTTTTTTTCTTCATAAAATGCAATTCAGGTTACCTTGAAATTCAGTTGTCATCATGTATGTTTTCTAGGACAAGAAATCTGATGATTGGTCAACTGTAAATAAGAAGCTGAGAGAGCATGGACTACAGCCACTCAAGTTTCAACACCCAGCTGATATTCATCACACCTCAGGTAACCTCAGTGCTGTCAGATTAGGCCTGGACACTATTTATAATACCATGAAAAAAACAGTGAATTTATCCCATACCCTGCTACATATTTAGGTAGACTATTTCAAGCATATGGAGAGCTGTTATACTCTATATTTTTGCATGCTAGTTGGTATTTCCACAACTACTGAAGGGAATGAGTTGAAACTTCATACAATAATTGTCAATTATTTGAGAGCATAATAGCAGGTCACTGTCTATGGCCTATAACTGTAACATGGATTTTGACAGAATTATGACCCTGTTTGAGCTAAAAAAATCTACATTATCCAGGCTCATGTGCAGCCACTGAGAATAGTCAAGTTCACTGTCTTGTCAACAGCTGTTGCTATAATAGGCTATCCCTGCTTTCAGTTTAGAAGTGTTGCTTGTTGGCAATAGATTCTATTCATGTCACCAGTGCAGGCTAAGGTCTGCTGGCACAACCATACTGTCTGATCATGGTCTGAACTGTTGGCTATTCAGTCTGTATGGCTTTTGAAAATTTTCCCAAAAAAAGAGGAATGGCGTTTTCCAAGGCCCATAACTCTGACATAGATTTGACAGAATTTTGACTTTTTTTACTTAACAAATTCTGCATTTTCAAGGATCTTGTTTTACTTTTAAGCACTAAGAATAGTCATGACGGCTGTGCTACTGACAGCTCTTGTTTGAAATACAAATGAATATCTTTAAAACTTCTAAAAGCTTACTCAATGAATGGCTAAACATGACTCCTTTCTTTTTAGGTTCAATGACTTGCTTGGATAGCAATAATAACAAGATGGCAAGAGAGAACTTCCTGTCACTGATGTCAGACTGTGATCACAGACAAACACTTGTACAGGACCTCATTACTAAAAATAATCAACTGAAGTAAGTTGAATAGAAATCATTTTGCATGTATCTTTTTGGTTTCTCTAACTTATCGATAAAAAGTTCAACATATAAATATCTAGCAAGAACTCTTTTTTTGTTGAAACATGATTTTTTAAAAAAAAAACTGAAATGTACTACCTCATCTTAAAGTGACATTTTGCTCTCATTTTTTTCACTGTCAAATCTTAGATAAATTAGTTGTATATTTCAAAAGATTGACTATTTTAATTTATTTAAAGATGATTGAACACTGATTGATTATCACAAATGTTAAGAGTAAAATATGAAATCTGACTGATATATAAAAGACTGCCCTGCTCTTTTTATAAATTGAATATTACCAGTATTTTTCAAAGGTTACTCCTTTATTTATATGTATGTCATATGGGTTATTGATTACTCAGATGAAGTTCATGTGAGGTTTATTATAAAAACAAGTATGACAAAATGTCAAGTTTTTTTTTTTATTTTACCTGAACATTCATCATTTACTCTGGGACGGACATAATGTCACTTTAAATAGACAAATATTCGGTTATGTCTACAGTCAAATGAATTGTGCACTATTACTTTTATCATTGCAGAGAAGATTTGGACAGGCAAACAGAACTCACAGAAAAATACTTCAGTAAAATGAAGGATCTGAAAATCATGCTGGAAAGTTCAAGAGCAAGGGTCAAGGTCAGTGTCATTGTAATTTCATGACCTTTTGTAAAATGGAGTCCAGGACGCAATTAGATTTTTTTGCTATATTCACAAAAGTAAATGATTTATTCTTCTGTATTTAGCAAGGATCCGTCCAGATTTATTCAGATTACATGAAAATTTAGTAATGTTTTCTAAATAGAAAAATAAAGTGAGTGTTTTAAGCTAGCCTTGTAGCTTTCTTCATTGAATTAATTTTCATTGTGAATTTGCATGACATTGTAATTTATTGTCTGGTACATTTAATAGTTTAAATATTTGCAGGAATTAGAGTCTGACGACCCTGGAAGGTCACAGACAGATGATATCTGGGACAGTACTGAGCGTGTAAAAAACACAAGGTCAGCTGTCGTGGCCAAGAATAAGGATCTTGAATATAAATGCAAGCAACAAGAGAGAGAACTGGAAAGATTAAAAGAAAAAATGCATAACATGTCTCAACAGGTATTATATGTGGTACCATATTTGTTTGAAAATAGTGCAAAAAAATATACTTCGTGATATTTTTCTGATGTTTGTTCTGTACAGCTAACGCAAATATGCAAAGCAGCATACACACTCTACTTCTAATGGCTTGTAAATTAGACAGTTGTCTAGTGGTAAAGGTGTGGGCATCTGTTGCAGAGTGGTTAAGGGGGTACCTGAAGTCTTTCTCATCAGTAAAGCTGAAAAATTTCCAGATGACCTTTTTTTATGTCATAATAATGTGGATGGGAAGTTAAACCCAACAAAAGAAGAAAAAAATGGATTTGACCTTTACTAGGGTTATGACCAAACTTTTTAATAAAACTTCGGTAAAACTTAGTTCTGGAAGGGAGTAAAAACAATTTGCATTACAACCAAACATTGATTAATATGTTTAATCATTGTATGAGGAGACTTTACTCTAAAATTAATTTTGTATAGCATTAAATGTTGAAATATTTTACATTAAAAGATTAATAGAATTTACGTGTTTTTTTCTATGTAGGATGAAAGACGCAATAAGAGAGTAGCAGAAGTATTTCAGGAATTTCGACGTAGAACGGCTCGCGCTCATCATACTATGGATGACAAACTTTTGGATGTGATTGATACGTATGAGCGACAGTTACAAAATTTGCAGAGAGATTTAGAAATGTACAGGTACTCCTTTTACATGGTGCTTTTTAATAGGCAATACATGCCTTGAACTTGATGAATTACCATAACTTTTATTAAACGAATCTACATCTACATCAGTTTAAATCTTTCAATCACTAGGTAACTAATGTATATACATTTAGGACAAATTAAAATATCATGGTTTGGAGTGGCTTTACCGAGATTAGTGTTATAACGGAGAGCGATATATCCAGGCTACAGTTTATGTGAAAAGTGTCGATTATAATATATAGAGGATATTGAATGAGTGTAAGTTCAATACTGAATTTATTGCATGAGTTGAATAAAATTGTATTATGCGAGCCTCGGCCGAGCATAATATTATTTTATTCAACAAGTGCAATAAATTCAGTAATGAACTTACACAAACTTAATATTCTATTTATCACATACCCAAAATAAAGACAGTTTAAAGTGAAATAAGAGTCATTTTTCATTGACGCTCCTATAGTATAATGCTAACATTTAGCGCGTCTTTACACTATGTTTGTATAACGCTAATGACGTCACGTCAAAATATATGCACGGCCGTGCAATACCATTTTTACGGAGTCGCAAAATCGGCACGGGTGTGTGATAAATTACTATAATTACAGATCTGGTGGAGATATGGAAAGATCTGAAGGTTCTGGAGATGAGGGTTCATCATTCTATTCTGTATCCAAGGAACAAGACACCACTGGCAACTTTAAAAAACTAGTCCGGGTAAGCTGACTGATTCATGATGATAAAATTTGGTCAACTTATTTACCACTGTTAATTCTTCATTGACTGATAATTTATGAAAGGAAATGCTTTAAATTGTGTAAAATTGATTGTTTTAAAAAAAATTCTTTACTGCTCACCCCACACCCCAGTTGAATCCTGCCAGACTTAGGATTCTTTAGGATTCTTTTATGTGATTCTTTCATATCCAACTAGCTTAGGGAATGTTGGTGGTTCTATTCAGGTGTCCGCTCGTGCCTAAAATAATGTACAGAGGAGCACCTAAGGTCTTCCTCCTCCAGTAAAGGTAAAAAGTCAGCACATGATTAGTTACAATAAACCCAACTTAAACAATAAAAAAATCTTTGAATGTAATGCTGTCTATTGTAAGAGGGATTTATATATGAATATATTAATTAAGAAGTCCTCAAACTTATTAAATCCCTGGCCCTGCAGGCTCAGACTTTAAATGAGTCCTATCGCTTCAGCAGATATTAATGCGTGAAAAAGTTAATCCTCTATTGTCAACTACCATGTTTCATGTTTTGATATGTTTACAGGCCTATGAGAAGCAAATAAAGGAATTAAATAAACAAGTGAAAAAACTGGAAGAGGAGAAAGAGCTCATTAAACTTGATGTTGGTGCTAGGTAACTTTGTCTTTTGTATTCTAAGATGATGTATCCTTATTTTTCACTTTATGTATATAGAATATATAAAATCTACACTTTTATGTGGGGGAAAAATTGAAAAAGTTGAGATTAAAAATGCTGTAATCAATAATCTGATATCATATCTCAAAGGTGGCTTGCAGGCAGATACTTTGTACTTTGAGTAGGTGGAGTGTACCTGTCTTGAATGCAGCAAATGGGTTAAGGAAAACAAATTGGCTTGAAAACAGTAGATAGATAAAGCTGAAAAATACAAAATAAACACAAATTTTGATCAAGCACTGTGTTGTGTTTATAAAATATGTATTTTTTTCTTCAATATTGAATACTGTTTTGTAAACCTAGTCTTATGAGAGGTCACAAAAGTTATAAAAATTCAAATCTTTTTTTAAAAGAGTTTAGGTTAAATATTGCTGATTTGATGTAAATTGATACCTAGACTTATAGGCAATCTGTCATATAAGAAAGTAGATACAGTATAAACAGGCTTTATAATTATAAACGGTTCAAATTTAGAATGTTATTTCAAAAAAGAGCATCTTTGAAATATATGTTTATATTGTATTTTTAGACCTGAGGTTAAAGATTACAGAGTTGCACAGTTACGGATGAAGAAGTTAGAGAAATTACTTGCATTACACAACATCAGGTAATTCAACACAGTTTTCCAATTTCAATGTAGGATAGGGGCCTGACAGGGGCGAAAATCTGTATTGCCAAGGTTGCCCCACAGTCTGAACGGACATGTAAAATTTCTTAGAATTTACTTTATAAATATGATAGAGACAAGTAAAGAAATTATTCGGAAATCAGATTTTGCCGGCCCTGGCTTATGAAGTGAAATCTTCAACATTAAGAATTGAGAAGGGTGGGTTTATGAAATGGCTAATCATTTATATGTAAAAGAACATGCATTCTTCACATGCTCTAAATCCTTTGACTCATATACAGCTAGAACTTAAAGCTAGCAATAGAGGATGGTATGGCTAGCCACTGTCTATTATGTGTTGGGACTGACCCTCAAAATAGCAGCCAGGGAAGGTCATGATTATTATGTGAAGAGCCTCTATATAATATAATAAATGTACCTACAATGATATAAAATTTAATCTTTTTCTGCTTTTTATAGCATACCTGGTGAGAAGTTAAAAACAGACCCCTACAGATTGAAAAGGAAGTTCAGCACCAGGCTAGAAGATCTTGATTACCTCCCTTTAGATCTATGTCATCAATATCTCAAGGTATAGTTGTCGCCATTTAGCATACAGCTAACCTAATGTATCAATACTATTGAGAACTAATCTTTTTCATCAAAAGTTGCATTTTAAACAAATCTAGAAATGGTGTAATCTTCAGAAATTTCAAATACTTCCTTTTTGTGTCGCCTTGAAAAAGGCGACATATAGGGGTTACTTTTGTGGGCGTTGTCGTCGTCGTTGTCGGCGTCCCCTAAAGCTTGTCCGGAGCATAAGTCAGTCGTTATAAGTCGGATTGACTTCAAACTTGGTATGCATGCTTCTTATAATGACCCGAAGTGCAGTGCACAAGAACTGGTACTCTGTACTTCTTATTTTTTGAGTTATTTTCCTTTGTTTATTTTCATACTTTATTTTTGTCCAGGCCATTTCTCCTTAAGTATAAAATCTATGGACTTGAAACTTCATAGGATGATAGATCTCATTAAGAAGAAGTGCAGTGCACAAGAACTGGTACTCTGCATTTCTTATTTTTTGAGTTATTGCCCTTTGTTAATTTTCATACTTTATTTTTGTCCAGGCCTTTTCTCCTAAAGTATAAAAGCTTTAGACTTGAAACTTAATAGGATGATAGATCTCATTAAGAAAAAGTGCAGTGCACAAGAACTGGTACTCTGCATTTCTTATTTTTTGAGTTATTGCCCTTTGTTAATTTTCATACTTTATTTTTGTCCAGGCCTTTTCTCCTAAAGTATAAAAGCTTTAGACTTGAAACGTTATAGGATGATAGATCTCATTAAGAAGAAGTGCAGTGCACAAGAACTGGTACTCTGCATTTCTTATTTTTTGAGTTATTGCCCTTTTTTAATTTTCATACTTTATTTTTGTCCAGGCCTTTTCTCCTAAAGTATAAAAGCTTTAGACTTGAAACTTAATAGGATGATAGATCTCATTAAGAAGAAGTGCAGTGCACAAGAACTGGTACTCTGCATTTCTTATTTTTTGAGTTATTGCCCTTTGTTAATTTTCATACTTTATTTTTGTCCAGGCCTTTTCTCCTAAAGTATAAAAGCTTTAGACTTGAAACGTTATAGGATGATAGATCTCATTAAGAAGAAGTGCAGTGCACAAAAACTGCTGATCTGCATTTCTTATTTTTTGAGTTATTGCTCTTTGTTAATTTTCATACTTTATTTTTGTCCAGGCCATTTCTCATAAATTATAAAAGCTTTAGACTTTAAATTTAATAGGATGATAGATCTTATTGATAAGAAGTGCAGTGCACAGAAACTGCTGATCTGCATTTCTTATTTTTTGAGTTATTGACCTTTGTTGATTTTCAAATTTCATTTTTGTCTTTGCCATTTCTCTTAAACTATATTGTTCACAAGGCGACACATCGGACTCGCGGAGTTCTAGTTTTCATAGATGTTGGTTGGAAAAATGTGAGGAAAGGTGATCATGTATTCATTTGAGAAATCTACTAATTAACTGAAAAAATGTATGTGGGTTCTGCTGTGATTGATCCCTATCCTTTAATTATTAATACATGGAGAGGGGCACCTTGGTTGACAATGACCAGTAAAAATATCAGTTTCAAGTTTGTTCTCCTTATAGATATCCTGACAAAACTACTCATAACATTACCTTTTCAAAACTATGTACCAAAAATGTGTTGCCTGTAACAATATTAAATAGAATAATAAATAATTTTAATAAGAGATTTTAAATAATTGATGGGTTAATATAATGTATAAGAATTTCTTTTGTTTTGCAGGACATCGGTACTGAGTTAAAGGTGAAAGATTTAGAGACAGTTATCCCTAGAATACAAAGGGTGACAAAAGAATTGGAAGAAGTTCATAAATATGAACAAGTGAGCAAAATATATATAGGCTATTTTTATGCTCCCCGAAAAATTTCGGAGGAGCATATAGTCGCCGCCTTGTCCGTCCGTCCGCTCTTCTTGGGACATAACTTTGAAACAACAAGAGGTATCAACATGAAACTTTGTAGGTAGATAGATCTCATTGAGAAGGTGTGCAGTAAAATTTTGCAATTTTCAACTTGTGTCACATGTAACTCAAAAAGTATTTGACCTAGAGTCATGAAACTTTACAGGAATGTTGATCAGCATGTGTAGTTGTGCACCTGGGTATTTTCGTCTGGATTTATTTAGTATTTTTAGAGTTATTGCCCTTGACTTTGACCTTGATTTTGCAATTTTCAACTTGTGTCGCATGTAAGTTTAAAGTCAAAAACGAGAATGGTGACCCCAATTTTTTTTTTACTTAAAATGTTTCTGTTATCATATTCTAACATCATTCCAAGTTTAAAGAAATTCTATTGAATAGTTTTAATATTGCCTATATGTCTATATGAAAACTCCCGAAAACGCCTTTAAACTTGTAAATAAAGCTTATTTTAAACAAAAGTATGTATCTTTCAGTTCTGTCGCACAGTACAGGAGGTTGTGAATAGCTTGGCAGATAACAAGCGTAAAGAGAAACTAGGTGGCGCTAAACGCAGTCACCTGTCCGCGGATACCCTCAACCATCTTGTTACTGTCATAGAAAACTGGAAAGAAGATGAAGAAGGCCTGCAGGTAAGTAAATGATAAAGCATTGGGTGACAAAGCTTCAGTACTATTTTTAGCTCCTCTTTTCGTAGGAAAAAAAGCGGAGCTATTGTCATGAGCCTCCTGTCAACTTTGGCTTTAATCTTTTCATTAAGGTCCATTATCTTAGAAACTTTAAAAGCTGTTCAGTTCAAACTTGGCGTACATTTTAATTGTCATTAAAGGATGCCATTTTAAAAGGCAGATAATTTAAAAGTTATTTTTGGCAGTTATACCTCTTCTCTATATTGATATTATTATATATCCAGCTCTGAGAAAAGTCGAACATACTGTCTGCAGACTGGTTTTGTTTTTTATGTCTCAAAGTTTATTGAGATGTCATTGCCTTAAAACCATCAAAGGATTTTGTTGGGGTTTTATTCCACAACATAGTATGTTTTGTGTACTGGCAAATTTCCATTAACATGGAGGTAAAACAATGACCTCTATAATGTGTGGGTGTGACTTAAAAACTAAGCAAAAAAAACATTTAAAAAAAGGAAAATATCAAACAAGATTAATATTATTTAATATAGAGGTTATTAACCAGTCAAAAGTCTTTACAACAAATTTATAAAACTGCAAAAAAATCTTGACTTATATAAAAATAAGTTAAAAAATATCCACCAGTCTCATATGCTGTCTTTATATGTCAACAATTGAAGTAAATTAGAAAAATGTGATGAGAAATTTGAGTATGTTATTATATCAATTTTTGCTATCAGGAGCTACAGATGTCAATAAACAGGCTAGGAGATAGATGCGCCCCCTGGTTGAAGATACGTCTAGTAGGGGAGCCAACTATGTCACAGATTACCTCAGCAGTTGATAAAATTGTGTATGATGATGGCGTAGAGGAACAGGTTTTTAATTCTTTAATCTCTATATAGTCAAACCTGTGTCAAAGACCACCCTGTAATTAAAGACTTCTCAAATAAAACTTCATTGATAAAAGTATTATAGAGTAAACTCTGAATAAAGACCTCTGATTCTACCCATGAAGCCAGTGCAAACTAAAGTCAGCATGTAAATCTAGGCCCTCTGGTCATAGTCTGAAGTGTAGTTCAGTCAGCATATATTTTGAAACTCTTAAAACTAATGACAAAGTACAAAGTACATCTTGGTACTATAATTTCATGGTAGTTGGCACCAGAAAATTGATTATTTTTAGCTCACCTGTCACAAAGTGACAGGGTGAGCTTTTGTGATCGCTTTTCGTCCGGCGTCCGTCCGTCGTCCGTCCGTCGTCCGTCCGTAAACTTTTGCTTTAAATGACATCTCCTCATAAACCACTGAGCCAATTTCATCCAAACTTCACAGGAATGTTCCTTTGGTGGTCACCTTTAAAAATTGTTCAAAGAATTTAATTCCATGCAGAACTCTGGTTGCCATGGCAACCAAAAGAAAAAACTTTAAATATCTTCTTTTAAAAAACCATAAGAGCTAGAGCTTAGATATTTGGCATGAAACATCTTCTAGTGAGTGTCTACCAAGTTTGTTCAAATAAAAGCCCTGGGGTCAAAATTGGCCCCGCCCCTGGGGATCATTGATTTTCCCTATATGCATATAGTAAAAACTTAAAAAATCTTCTTTTAAAGAACCGTAAGAGCTAGAGCTTAGATATTTGGCATGAAACATCTTCTAGTGAATGTCTACCAAGTTTGTTCAAATAAAAGCCCTGGGGTCAAAATTGGCCCGACCCAGGGGGTCATTGATTTTCCCTATATGCATATAGTAAAAACTTAAAAAATCTTCTTTTAAAGAACCCAAAGAGCTAGAGCTAAGATATTAAGCATGAAACATCTTCTAGTGAGTGTCTACCAAGTTTGTTCAAATTAAAGCCCTGGGGTCAAAATTGTCCCCACCCCGGGGGTCATTGATTTTCCCTATATGCATAAAGTAAAAACTTAAAAAATCTTCTTTTAAAGAACCATAAGAGCTAGAGCTTAGATATTTGGCATGAAACATCTTCTAGTGAATGTCTACCAAGTTTGTTCAAATAAAAGCCCTGGGGTCAAAATTGACCCCGCCCCAGGGGGTCATAGATTTTCCCTATATGCATATAGTAAAAACTTTAAAAATCTTCTTTTAAAGAACCCAAAGAGCTAGAGCTAAGATATTTAGCATGAAACATCTTCTAATCAGTGTCTACCAAGTTTGTTCAAATTAAAAGGTCTGGGGTCAAAATTGGTCCCGCCCCAGGGGGTCATTGATTTTCCCTATATGCATATAGTAAAAACTTAAAAAATCTTCTTTTAAAGAACCATAAGAGCTAGAGCTTAGATATTTGGCATGAAACATCTTCTAGTGAATGTCTACCAAGTTTGTTCAAATAAAAGCCCCGGGGTCAAAATTGACCCTGCCCCAGAGGGTCATAGATTTTCCCTATATGCATATGGTAAAAACTTAAAAAATCTTCTTTTAAAGAACCCAAAGAGCTAGAGCTAAGATATTTAGCATGAAACATCTTCTAATCAGTGTCTACCAAGTTTGTTCAAATTAAAAGGTCTGGGGTCAAAATTGGCCCCGCCCCAGGGGGTCATTGATTTTCCCTATATGCATATAGTAAAAACTTAAAAAATCTTCTTTTAAAGAACTCAAAGAGCTAGAGCTAAGATATTTAGCATGAAACATGTTCTAATGGGTGTCTACCAAGTATGTTCAAATAAAAGCCCTGGGGTCAAAACTGGCCCCGCCGGGGGGGTGGGGTCATTGATTTTCCTTATATGTGTATAGCAAAAACTTAAAAATCTTCTTTGGAAAAACCCAAATAGCTAGAGTTTAGATATTATGCATGAAACTTCTTTAAGTAAATATCTACAAGTTTGTTAAAACAAATGCCCGGGGGTCAAAACTGGCCCTGCCCCAGGGGTGACATTGTTTTTAACTATATGTGTATATTAAAAACTTTAAAAATCTTCTTATGGGTGTCTACCAAGTCTGTTCAAATAAACAAATAAAAGCCCTTGGGTAAAAATTGGCCCGGGGGTGGGGGGCCTATATACAGGTGAGCGACCTCAGGGCCATCATGGCCCTCTTGTTATCATTAGTATCTTTTAGTTAAAAAAAAAGATCTGAACTTCTATCTCTCTTTTCTTTCTACCACTAAGCATCTGAATCTTTATGATAAAAAACTCTCTTTTTTCAGGCTGGTCAGGAGCATCCCAATAGGTCAGTGTTAGAGAACATTGTCTCGCATTTCCAGACGTTATTTGATGTACCTAACATATCTGGAGTGTTCCCAAGAATGAACCAGATCTTCACAAAGCTGGGAGAGGTGCATAATGTCCTCAATACACTCAAAAATCTTCTTGGGCTAGGTAAATGTTTTAAATTTTCATTACCAGCACTTTCTCTTAATATATTTATGTTTTAATTTTTATGTCCTCCAATCTATCAATATGGTTAATTTTGATTCATCTGTCTGTCTGTTTTTTGTCAGTGCTCACAGTTTGTCACAAAACTTTTTTATTCTTGGCCATAACATGAAAGTCTGTCCATCCTCCAATGTTTACTCAGTGACCTATATCCAACAGAACCATTTTGAAGTTTTGAGGGTCAAGGGTCAGGGTTACCATGCCACTCCCTATCTATTAGATGGTCTTGTTTCGACAGAAAATCCTTCTATAAGCTGGAATTACTAGATTACATTAATTTCAAAATTGGAATTTTTTATATGAGTCCTGGGTTTTGCTCAAAGCTTGTGCTATGCTCGGTATTTCCCAGGTGTCTCTTTGGCATTTTTAAGTAACTGAGTATTTGCTTGAAAGTTGCTCCCATTTATTTCGCAATAATGCATTGGCTCCTGTCTATTCGCTTGGAAAAGTCTACCATATGTATTTTATTACCGCATTTACGCATTTGGCACCCTCGCATATTCTATTATGCAGTCTTGGCACGCATATGCCAGAAGTTATCGCATTTAAGCATCTTGGCACCCTTGCATAGGGCAATTACGCAATCTTGGCACGCATATGCCGGAAGCAGGCACATCTGTCCTTAAATGCTCAGTAACTTTCGCATGGAACTTGCGCATTTAACTGGTTTATTCGGTTGCTGGAATTTTCTTTGTTATGCTAGGGACATTTAGTTGTCATATCCCAAGAAGGATTACATTCATTCAAATGTAGCACATGTTTCTTTTATTCTGTGAATAAAACATTTCAATATATAATCAAGTCATACCACAAGTTTGTACATTCTGATTAGAATATATATTATTACTATATTATTATATTTTATGTATTGTTATCCCTTTACATGCCAATAAAATAATATATTACTTGTATATCAAAGCTGGACACACAATATGTGGGGTGGTTGTTTAGACAAAAAATTATATCTTGACTAACATTTGTATATACTATTAGTTATACAAGTTTCTTATTGGATATACATGAGAATATAGCCTGAATGAGGTAAATATGACCAGAGGCACTATCTGAGGGTTATATTTATGTCAGCCAGGCTATATTCCCCCTCATGATGATAATCAGGTGATAATGGAAACACACACAAATACTCATAGAGATTAAGATACTGTGGCAAGCTATAGTTCATCCTCTTTAGTGATTGGGGAACAAAACACGGGTATCTTTTAGAATCAATACAGTACAAACTTTTATGAAAAATCAGCGCTACCTCTTTTGCAGTTGTGCACCTGAGTACAGAGATTTCAATTGAAATCAATTGGTATAATTATATTATTTATTTGTTCACTTCTAGGTAAGGATGTGAAGTCCTCGGCTATTGTAGACAGTGTTGGACGTCTGGTCCAGCAACACAATACAACTACCGTACAACATCTAAAAAACCTACTTCAAACTGAAGACCTTGATGGGTAAGTTACTTTCTGAAATTGGAAACTCTGCCTTATACAAAATTACTGAAAATTCAATTGAACTACTTTGTTGCAAATTGATAACAAAGGGCAAACAGTAGTACTGGTTCTTGAATCTTGAACCATCCAGAGTTATCAGGACATGTGTTAGTTCTGTCTGAAACCTTATTCTGAATATTGTGAATAAAGTATTTTTTTCTGGAATTATATTCCATTAAATGAAGAAGACATTTATACAGCAGTACCAGTACAGGGTCAATTTTATGAAAATGAAATTTAAGGGTGTGTGTGTGTGCATGGGGGGAGGGGGGGTCATTCTGTCTTCAGATTATCAAGTGATGTGTATAACAGAAATGAAAAAGATGGCTCCCTGAAAAAACAGGTTATATAATGCCCACTGTTTTCAAAAATTTGCTCTTAAACAAGGTTCCTTAACATGGTTCCAATTTAATTGGCTTGCACTTTACTTTTTTACATATTAATTGAAAGAAAGACTATTAACATTTAAACCTAATTGTTATTAAGCTCAACTCAGCTTATTTTAACCACTCTTGAATCCACTTCATGGAACTAACCAGGTACTAGTATATGAGAAAACATGTTTGTGACCCAAGTTGGTCTTGAACCACAATCTTTTGGTTGAGAGGCAGACACCTTTTCAACTAGGTCACCACTTCCATAAGGTCATGGCTCTCATTTAATTCTTGTAGTCAAGTATAATGTAAGTTTACCATTCTGCCTAATTTTCAGCATTTTTTGATACCAGTTTTTAAGGAAGATTTTATTAAATATGAAAATTATGATTGATTTTGTATTGTAGATTATATCAATTGATGGACATATATATTTTATTATCTGTGTATTCTATCTTTTTACAGTGTTATAAGAAGGTTACAGGAGCATCAAGAATTTTTCCCAGCATTCTATGAAATTATGAATAAATTGATAGAAATTTTAGGTATGTTTCTTTTTATGTTTTCGTCGTCTTTTATAACTATTCTGTATATATTTGTGTCTGAGAATGTTCACTTAACTTTTACAAATTTGACATACAAAAAAAAAGAATTATAGATATTGGAAAGTGATAACTTGATAATCTATTAACAGAAAAAATTAATGCTCTTGGTTTAAACATAGTGAAAAATCCACAGTAATTATGACATTATAATTTTTTCTGAAGGTCGTTTGTGTTAATTTGATGAATAATTTTACAAAAATAATCTGCCAGTTACTTAAATCTAGTAGCTATATTTAATTTTTTGAATTACTCAAAACACCTCGAAAGCAACAGGGCCAATATTTTGATATCAATCGTCAATTAGTTGAAGGAACAGTGTGTAGAAATTGATGTACAATATTGTCTCAACACATAAATGTTTTGATAATTGTTGTCATTTATTTTCCAGACGTAAGACGAATGGACCAAGTTATCCCAGCAGTAAGAGCTCTCAAACTCCTTGCCAATTAAGGACAGTTACTCAGGACAAAGAGGAATCAGACTTATTATCTCCCTTTAGCTATTTATACAATTTTTGTCAAAGGGGAGTAACTTTGGATTTACTATTTATAACAGAATCTCCTCTAGCTAAAGAGAGTTGTCTCCCATACACTGCAGCAACTAATGGCATTTATATTGTGAAGAGAACACTTTTTTCT